TTTCAGTTTCTTTACCAAGTTTTCCACATGGAGCTTAAAAGAGAGATGTGAGTCGACCAAGATACCCAAATATTTATAGGAATCAACAAACTCAATGGGGACACCATTTGAGGATAAAATCGGAGGAAGAACTGCTGGGACCAACTTCCTATTTGAAAAAAACATCCCTTTGGTTTTTTCGGCATTTAGGACAAGTTTGAGGCGAAACAAATCAGTCTGGATGATGTTAAATGCAGATTTCAAAAGCTGGAAAGCCTTAGCAACAGTTTTAGCTCGACAATAAACAACTGTGTCATCAGCATAGAAATGTATGGATGCATTAGGGATGTTTTTACCTACATTATGTATGTAGATTGTAAAGAGGGTGGGTCCTAAGACTGAGCCTTGTGGTACACCATTGTTGACTGTTAAATAACTGGAGGAAGTACCATTATGTTGAACACATTGCCTCCGGTCTGAGAGATAGTTAGAGAACCAACCAATGGTGTGTTCTGAGAAACCAATTTCTGAGAGTTTATGACACAAGATGTTCTGATCCACAGTGTCAGAATCTTTAGACAGGTCTAAGAAAAGTGCAGCACAATAATCCTTAGCATCCAGTGCTTCAACAACGTCATTAAGAACCTTCAGTGAAGCAGTGGTTGTGCTGTGTTGTTTCCTGAAACCAGATTGATGTGGAGGTAAGATGTTAAATGAGTCCAGGTAATTTTTGATTTGAGAGTTTATCAGTTTTTCTAGAACCTTGGCTAAAATGCAGAGTTTAGAGATTGGTCCATAGTTGTTCAGTGAGGTGGGGTCTCCTCCCTTAAGCAAAGGAAGAACAAAGGCTGTTTTCAAGAGTCTGGGATGGAGTTTTGGTTTATGGAGAGATTGAAGATGTGGGTCACAGGGACTGTGATGATATGAGCAGCCAGCCTTAAGAAATAAGGTGGAAGTTCATCTGGACCTGCAGATTTTTTAGGATCAAGACCTTTTAACAGTTTATTGACCTCACTGACTGAGAATGGAGAAAAAGAGAAGCTATAAAGTTGACTTGACTTGACTTTCTGCTGCCGTTGATATTGTGGACCACAACATCTTGTTGTCACGACTTGAGCAGGCGGTCGGTATCAAAGGCACAGTTTGATCCTGGTTTAGATCCTATCTGACTGACACGAGTTTTTCTGTTCATTTAGGAACTTTCAGAGACCTTGAAAAGGTGATTCACGTTTTTTTACCTCTCGTTTGGACGACTGTAATTCATTGTATGTTGGTTTAGACAAATCATCTTTGCATCGTTTACAATGTGTCCAGAACGCAGCAGCTCGTCTTTTAACAGCAACTAAAAAACATGAACACATAACCCTGTCCTGGCTTCTCTCCACTGGTTTCCTGTCCACTTCCGTATTGATTTTAAGATTTTATTGCTTGTTTTAAAAGTCTTAAAAGGTCTGGCCCCGTCATATTTATGTGATCTCATTAACATTTACACTCCAGTAAGAGCACTCCGGTCTACCAACCAGTTCCTCTTAGATGTCCCCAGATCCAAACTGAAATCCAGAGGTGATCGGGCTTTTGCGGTTGCTGCTCCAAAACTGTGGAACAGTTTACCTGAGAATTTAAAGAGCGCTCAGACTGTTGAGACTTTTAAATCTTTGCTGAAGACTCATCTGGATTCCTTGGCATTTCATCCACGCAGAGTCTGAGAACAAATTTAGAGCTGATTTTATTGTTGTTGTGTATTTACTGTTAACTTTCTTCTGTTTCTGAGTGGCACTCGAAGCATTTTTTACTCTTTTTATCTGTCTTAACTGTAAAGCACTTTGGTCAGCTGTTGTTGTTTTTATGTGCTATAGAAATAAATTTATATTATATATATATACATATACACAACTTCAAAATAAATTCTCACCCTGTACTGAAAACAGCTTCAGTGTATCAGAGCCACCAGTTGGTGAGAGGTGGTGACGTCAATTTGAACCTCGCCCACTGGAACCAGTACTGAAAGCATAATGGAAACACTTGTACCCAGAGCCCTATAAAGAGAGAGAGTTGCGACACTCTTTGAACTCGCAGATACGCGTCACATGGTTCATGCAGCTTCAATAGTTCCAAACAGTTCATCCTGTCAGTCAGTTTGAGCGGCTACTGGCGAAACACAAGAATCCACTTTTCTTACTTTACCTGTGTCTTTCAGTAATTACTGAGCAGTAACAAACTGATTATTGATTATTTCACAGACTATGCATTTTATCAAAGCATTGTTAGACGTGGCTGATACATTTATCATTAAATTTTAGAGGGAAAGAGACTCCAAACACATATTTGTTGGAAAAATAACGTATATGCAATACAATGATCAATATAGTCATATCAGTGTTTTATAACGTTACACACGTTAAATAAAGATCAGAGTAACTCCTGTTATAAAGTTATTCTGATGTTCTCTGCAGGATAATGCTCCACCTTGTCCTCCAGCAGTTCAGATCTGCTCCAGCTTACCTCAGAACATCTGGATGAATTCTTGATTTCTATAGAAGATATTAATTCAACCTTTATTTAAACAGGTTCGTCCCATTGAGCCACGAGGACTCATTTACAAGAGAGACCTGAATATAATTGTTGTATTTGTTGTTTTTTATGGCACCAAGTACCTGATAACTGAGCTGATTGTAGCCTGACAACTATTGTAAAACTGTAATTCATTGATTAAAATGTTAATTTAAATGAAACTGTTTCTAGTTAAAATCACAACAGATGACAAAATAAGTGTTAACTGTGCAAAAATAAATTTCCAAACAATTTATTATAAAATATGTAAAATGTAAAACAAGCTTTAATAAAGTACTTTTACTGACATTTATACTGTTTATTAATGACATCATCTCAAGTCAGCAGGAGCACCATCATCATCATCATCATCATCATCATCACAACACAAAGTGAGAGCTGTAAATTTAATCTGCACAAACATTTTCAATCAGAGCTCAAAATGTTTCACTGTCAAAGAAACGTGCAAGAAAATAAACTGATGTCACTCTACAGGGACATTTAGAGAGAGGACAGTTCACAGAGACACAGTGAGGACGAGTGAGACAGAGACACAGTGAGGACGTGTGAGACAGAGACACAGTGAGGACGAGTGAGACAGAGACACAGTGAG